TTTGTGTCTCGACTCCCCGTCAAGGGAGTATACACCAAATTTTTCACAATTCAATAAAATATGATATATCCAAATGAGACCTTTTTTTAAAATAAATATGATCCGAGATTTCTATGTCGCTGATAATATTGTAGGTATAATATTATAAAATGTTTTCGTCCTTTTTATCATTAAAATGATAGAAATTTTAAATGAAAGACATTAACTTAAAACGTAGAAAATTCTCAATAATATAACAACTTAGCATTATAGATATTAACCAACATTGTACAATATTTATGTTCGTTACTCACGCTATGTAGGTAGAGTGTAGTTGTGTTACAAACGGATTGTGATGATAAATTGGCTGTTAATCCGTATATTATTTATCCGATCAGTTCATATTCAAAGGGACGTCAGAAAAATGGACGATGTGAAAGAGACTTAATCTGGAACGCTATGCTACCAATAGCATTTACGTATACCTAGGCGTTATAACTTCAGGAGACAACTGAGAACGTCGAGGGACTTGCCTTGACTTATTGGATCATATACTACGTCCCGCGTGCGATATCCATGTTTACGACAGGAAGAGCCAGTTATCGTGTGTATTGGCTGGGGGTGGAGTTCTTCTAGACCTTTTTACGACTGTGCCTTATCGGCGTCATTTATTTCGATGAAAACAAAATATTGTTGCCGCCTGTATCGACACGTAACCGCTATTGATTATATAATGAGTAAATCGTACGTACGTAAGTAGGAAGTTTCATTTTGTCTTGCTGTCGCTGTCTTACTATAGACATTCAAATTTCAAACCAAATTTTTGATATTACGCTTTTTTTAGATCATATAAAAAACCACAGGATATGCAACGGCATAAAAAGCTTTAAATCCACCGTATGAATATTGCATATACATTTAACAACAAAATCTTTGCTCGGGTAACGTCGGGGGATAGCAAGTTATAATTAATAATTTACTACTTTGGAAATTTAAATATTAAAATTAAATTTGATATAAATTTGACTTTAATAATTATATTTATCGATCACCATGTAAAAATTTTAGCACCCTGCCAACTTCTCGTTTGAGAAACATTATTTTCACTCTCAGATAATCGATTTAAATCCATCATATCTTAGGCTGTGGTTTTAACACGTGTAAGGAATGCCCTTAGAACTCTTGAATTTTCTTCAAATTCATTCAAGTATTTCTGCTCACTCTCTTCAAGAACCATTTTGAATTCTAAATTTTATAGGTTGGCATATTCAAAATAAATTACACAGCCAATTGATAAAGTACTACTACATAATTTATGAACATAGGTCACAAAAAAAAAATTATCCAGGTATGCCGTGACTAAATAATGATGATAATATTTAACTATAGTATATCGATCACCTCGAGGTCACCAAAATGCACGGGCCGGGAATGTACAATTGGCCATTAGCCCGGTCAACTTAAGGCCCTTGTAAACCCTATGAATTTTTCAACAAAATGACCTGAAAGTTTATAGTGATAAAAAATTGATAACATTTAAAATATTTATTTCCATTTAGAATTTGCTAAAATTGAAAAAGTGCTTCGACCGATGCGAAATAATGTTAAAAGTGATAAACAAAATGTACGTAGCTGAATATTTAAACGTATTATTTATTATGATATAATGAAAAGAGGTAGGTTTGCAATTTTGCATGAATACTTTTTCAAAGAAAAGGGACTTATATTTGACTCTACAGAGTCGATAGTTAAGATTGTAGTGATTGTACATATATCTAAATTATGTTTGTTCAATTTATAATATTGTAGCCGTCGTTTATGGACTCACTTTGGGACCATTTAGGTCCGTTAACAGAATGAGTCAAAAAGGTGAAAGACCGTAAAAAACCTAACTACATTAAAAATATTTATAGATATTTCAGATTAAAATAATACAAACGTGAAATATTTCTGAAATATGTTATAAATATGTCATGTTGATAGTAGATAGATGTAACATATTGTAACATGTATAATGTTAAAGTAATAAATGGGTTAAATAGACAAATTATAATCTAAATTATTTTTAATTGTATATAAATTTACTTTTCTTTTCGTCCGATTTAGAACCAAAAGCAGAGGAGTGTCTTTAAGCACAATACTATACTCCTCTGTTGCCAAATATATGTATTTAACTTATTAATATCTGTTTGGTTGAAATACATCATACATAAATACCTAATACATTTTTAATAGAAATTCATCTAGTTTGATTGAGTTTTTTCTTCTTCGGTTAGGCTAATAAAGTAATAACTAATAAGTAATAATAATTCCCTCACATGGTTGACGTGGCTTTAGCCTTTAATATGTCAGAATTGCTTCTTTACTGACTTCTTTACTTATGGTGACGCTGCGAATGTACAATGGCTGTTTCATCCCGAAGACTTTACCAAATTCACGTTGAAAGAAATATTAGAAGAAGCCTCAGACCTGCCAAACGGTAAATCACCGGGACCCGATGGTATCCACAACAAATCCTTAAAGCTGCGGTGAAATCAAACCCCCAGTACTTTCTCCAGGTGTATAACCAGTATATAATTATTGAAGCGGTTTACCCACTCGAATGGAAAAAGGCAAATTTGGTGCTAATACCTAAACCCGGAAAGCCGCCAGAAGCTCCATCATCGTACCGACCATTCTGCATGTTAAACATGACTGGAAAATTGTTTGAGAAACTACTGATGCGAAGACTAAAGAGCCACCTATTGATGAATACTCTAACAGACAAACAAAATAGCTTCAGAAAGGGAAGGTCAACTCTAGACTCACTCAACCGATTCGGCGAAATCATCAGAAAGGCTAACTTGGATACGTCCCATCGAAGAAAAATTGTCGGCATGATTACCCTGGATGTTAAGAATGCCTTTAATACAGCACAATGGAGTGACATCATAAATGCTTTGATCGRAATTTCGACCTCCGACTACCTGATCTGTATTATTAGAAGCTACCTTCGAAATCGGAGCGTCTCCATAAACACTCCCAACGGATATCGTACCATCGAGGTGACGCGGGGCATGCCTCAAGGATCTGTCTTAGGACCTGACTTATGGAACATAATGTACGACAGTCTCCTACGAATTGAGTTCCCCCAAGACATCGATTTCTTAGCCATTGCCGACGATGTTGCTATAGTGGCAACTGCAAAAACCAACCAGGAAGCGAGGAAGCCGAAGAACAGCTGGAAGAAGCATTTAGAATAGTAATTGAATGGATGAAGGAGCTCAAGGAGCACGGCCTGAGCCTCGCGGTCGAAAAAACGGAGGTTGTCATGTTCACTAACAGAAAGATAAACAACACGATGAACTTAAATCTAGCAGGAAACAATATACCGTCGGCCAGGAGCCTACGATATCTCGGAGTACAGCTTGACTCCAAGTTAAAGTTCAAGGACCACGTCACACTGGTCGCAGCAAGAATTTCTAGAGTCACTAAGCAACTCAGCCTCATCCTTCTCAACCTCGGTGGAGCAAGCGAACCAAAAAGGAGACTGCAGGCCGGTGTGGTAGAGTCAATCCTTCTGTATGCCGCACCATTCTGGATCGAAACAGCAGCGACGAAGACCTTAAGCAAACTCGAGTCGGTACACAGGAGGGCACAGCTTCGTGTAGTATGCGGCTATAGGAACGTGCCATATGCAGCCCTAACAATTATAACTTCTACACCACCACTACACCTGTTGGCAGAAGAGCGAAGGAGAATGCGGGGAGGGTCAACATGACAAAACGCCCGCAACGAATCGTTGGACAAATGGCAAGAACAATGGGAAGCGGCAAACGATGGACGATGGACACACAAACTGATTCCAGATTTGAAAAGATGGTATAACAGAAATCACGGTAACGTAAATTTCCACATACGCAGTTCTTGACCGGCCATGGCTGCTACCGGGCATACCAAAAGCGGTTTAACCTATCGAACACCAACACGTGTCCAATCTGTGGACAAACAGATTTTTACCATGGCAGATGACGCAGAACATGCTATACTGGTCTGCGACGCATGGGAAAGGTGGAGGAGTGAAGTTTGTCAATGCGTAGGCATTAGTGAACTCACTGCATAGAACATTACAACGACCATGCTGCAGTCCGAATATAATTGGACAAAAATCTTGGGCATGGTTGGAAGAATTATGAAGGAGCGAGAAGCGGAGGAGCGACAACGGTAAAGGGCGCCACCATAACGAAGAAAATACAAACAATAGTTTAGTAAGACATTTATTGTGGACCAAAGGTCAAAGTTAGGAGGATAGAGCCTCCCAATGACTGTACAAATATTGTAATGGATTGGTGAATAGGGGTTTTTCCGATTCACCACCAAATTTAGAATTGTTATTTTGCTTAAATAAACGATAGTTACTGTGAGAAAGTATTGCTCACGCAGTTCCCTCCCTGTAACTGGTGAAAAAAAAAATAAGTAATAACCATTTCATCATATGCTTGACGTGGCTTTAGCCATTAATATGTCAGAATTGCTTCTTTACTGAATCCTACTGCACAGAATCTTAAGCACTTCTAGAATTTGTTTTGTTGATGGTGATATTTCGTCAGGTTCATCTTCGTCACTATCAGCATTATATCTCTCTTATTTATTCGTTTTGATTCAATTTCATCACAAACGTCTTCCTTATTTATGCCACCTCTGTAAACTCGGTAGAGCAACATTAGTAGACATCGGTCCAACCCATCAAATACATTTTTTGGTTGATTATTGGACATCACACGTTAACAGTCACTAGATTGGTATCTAGACTCTAGACGTTTGAGCTTTAGGCTTTAATAATTTGAATAAATTAATTTACAATCTATAATTAACTGTGAATTTAAAACTGATTTAAGGCCATAATTTAAGTGTCAATTTTTGGTAATTTAATTTATTGTTTTTTTTTTTTTAAATCAATAATAGGTATTGGTGAATTACATAATATTTTTTAATGCAAGTCCTATATAAATATTTAAAACCCCTAATAGCGCAAAATAATTGATAATCTATTGTATATTTGTGTAGTATGTCTTTCTATTTATTCATTGTTTTTACCATGACGGATACAATGTTGTAGGACGTCATCAAAACCTGAAATCGTATTGAAATATTAAAGCGATATAAAGCATCAGTGGTTCTGAATAGTACCTATTTTGTTAGTCAATAAATTAATATTACTTACGCTAGCAAATAGTTGTAAATTGACTATTTTTTTTGTTGAAACTTTCATCCTTACATGATTAGCGTCGTTGATCTGCATGGTAAATAATAATAACTTTTTCAATTTTAAATCCATGTTTGTCTAATTACAAAAATATATTCCAAGGTTGGCAGATTCTCTCTACGTAATGTAGTAGGCTTATTATTTTCAATTTAAGCCAAAATAAAATAAAATGTAAACCTATTATTATACTTAGATAGATACCAACCTTTAAGTTCATATTATCAAATAAATGACAATATAGAAATAATTGCCCACATAAATGTACAATTCCACTGCCGATCTTAAACAAATTTATGGTTTTGTAAGTGAATGATCCTGTTGATAAGAAAACCTATATAAGCAAATTAAACAAATTATTAAAATACCTTTACCTGTATTGGTAAAAAATAAAATGTATTAGGGACAACCAACATTTTTAATTATTAGATTGTAGAGATGTAGCCAGAGAGCTAAAGCCTAAAGGGTCTATAGCCCCCTCCCATTTACTGTGTTTATTTTAGTCATCATAATCATTCATAACTTCTTGATATATATTACAACAAAATATATAAAAATATTGTGTAGCTCACGCTAACACTTCAGTTTAAAATATATGTACCCAAGATGTTATGCTAAAATCCAAAGCATACTCATAAGGTATATCATATTACCTACGACTACGTGTTTAACACATATCAGTAATCTTTATCTAACTTATATCATAGAATAACCGGAAGTATCAAAATAGTAAAATAGTAAAATACAATAAATCTGTGCTTCTTAGTTCTTTTATTATTCCTTCTTCTATTATCTCGATAATATTATTAGTTGATCACACGGCTGAGGTTTAAAATTTGTGGTAGGTACGGCACTTCGGTTACACAAGCCTACCTTATATAATTATAACACAGAACAATAATAGTTATACCAGGCATGAGTCTCACGCCTTTATCTAATACGAAATAATATACATGCGCTTACTGTTGATAATAATATTGTTACCCATTACACCCGAAGGATGCACTTAAAAAATTGGAGTAAAAAAAAAAAAATGTAATGTAAGTTTTTTATGAGACGTAGTCCCACCCCCACTCAAAGTCCTTGGCTATTTCATTATTATGTAGCATTAAGTAGACACTATATTATTCAATATTAAAATGTTGACTTTTAAACAGTACACGTTAAGTCTATAATTAATATTTACTATTTTAGAATATTACCATAATGAATGAGTTCGACAACATTATCATTAGACTTGAACAGATAGCAACGTGCATTAAAACAATAGGCTTCACGATAGACATATATAATTTAATTTTCCTGTAAAAATAAATAAAAATAATCTTGATTTAGGTTGTTGTTATGAACTTGTTGATATCAATGATATTATGATTTTGACATAAAAAGCCCAACTATAATAATTTTACTATCGTGACCATTGACATTTAAATCATAGGCCGTAGGATTAATGACATTTATAAAAAATTAAGAATTTTAGTTTTAATATTTTAATAGTTTAAATGCTTAAATATAAAATATAATATCCTGTAAAAGATTAATATTTATTATGCATATAAAAGTAAAGAATTATTAAAAAATTATATCATTACCATAGTTTTTACTTTTAATTCCACCTCCATACTACAATGTATCTACCTACATACCACACTCAAAGTTAAATTTAAAAATATTTACAGACCCAAAAGATAATGACGATCACTTTACTAAAAAATATAAATCACTAGCCTCAGAATCTGGTGTAATAATTATTTTATTACAATAGTAATTTACTAAGTTAATTGTAAATTTAATATGCATTAGGTACCTATGTATTTACATATTATATTGTAAAATATACTTACAAATCAAGTTGTTGTTGATCAAACAAAATCGATTTAAAATATGTATAATCATCTACAATATCATGATTATGATCTGAAAAAAATGTGGGTAATCGGTATATGTAACCTAAAAGTATTATTTAATATAATATTTTATATATATACTAATATTGTAGGTAATACAATAAAAAGAAATGCATAGAATTTTTTTAAAGGTCTTACACTCTTACTAATTCGCTCCTAACTGCGTAGGTACTGTGCTAAAATGTATGGGTATAATTAGTATAATTATAATGTCTGTAATGGTGGTAATTATAAGGGATGAGGGTAATTTGGAATTTTGTTATTTTATTAGTATTTTTACGCTATTATAGTTATTATTACAAATATTTTAATCATTTATACATTAGGTATTTCTAAATTAGTTTCTAATAATAATAAATCTATTACAATTTAAAACCAATGACAAAGAAATAAATATTTTGTTTTTTGTTTTATTTCCAGTTGTTTTAAGATTGATTGAACACAGTCGAATAGATGATTCTAGCTGAGTTTCTAATGATACATATTCTTTTAAAATAAGTAATGGTCGAAATGTTTTCTCACCCTTTAGAAAGTTTTCATTATGTCCGATATTCTTAAACGCTACAGCCAGTACTTGGTATTGAACGATTATCGCCCAACCAATAGACAATAATAATATATCGATCAGCAATACTAAGTATACCATTTTAATTCCTATTATTATTTCAAATATGAAAAACAGCACATAATACTTATTAAAAGTGTTTACATCTACAGGATATTGCATTTTTAAAATGTTCTCTAAACGCTGATTGTCATTTTTGTACGATAAAAATGAGTTTGTGATAATTGGAAAAACAATCCATTCAAAAAACACAGTTATAGTTGTGTAAAAATATAAGTTTGTAAGCTTTAAAGTTCTATTACGATGTTTGTATAGTATTTCCATGTTATCACGACAATGTTTGCTTTTCAAAAACATTAAATCCGTCACATTTAATAGGTCCAGAATTTTTTTTCTGTTGAATATAAGTATGACCACTTTCAACAGAGTAGAATAATTCAATAAGTTAGAGAATATGATCAAGAATAAATCAATGTTGTTAATACTATCTTCCAACTCAAATAGAAATCCACAATTCCCGAAAAAAAACATACACTCGATTATCGCGATTAATACAATAAAATAAAGCTGGTAAACATTCCAGCCAAATATCTTTTTGGAGTTTTGATCGAATATTTGATAAAAACCACATTGCTTTAAAAATTTTAAATTAATGATGGCGGTATGATCATTGAAGTTTTCCATCGGACTTAGTTCCATTAGGTTTGTGCAATCTATAAAAAACAAAAAATATTCAAAACTGTTGAAAGATTATGTATTTACACTATTTACTGCTAGCTCTAAATAATAAATGATATTATATTCAGTTATCAGTGGCGTAACCAGGGGAAGGGTTCTAGGGTTCTAACTCCTCTGAAATTTTTTCATTCTAAAAAAAATCTTATTTACCACCATTTCAACACACTGAGTCGATCACGAATCAATAAAATTTTTGGTAATTTTTAATAGTTATAAATTAAATTTTCCGTGCCCGTCTTGCAAACCACTCTAACCCTCTAATCCTTGCTCTAAACTCTGAGTCTATTCCTGCGAACCCACCTAGAAGGCTAAAGCGTAGCTGAAACCGTGACTTAAAATAATTCTAACCCTCTTGCCAGTAAGTGTTGCCGCTGGGTGATTACTTCATCAAGTCAATCATGTCATTAAACGTAAATCCTCAAACATGCTTATTGTAAAATCTATTTATAGATTGTATGTATTAAAAAAAAAAAAAATTAAATTGTTAACTTATTATTAATTATAATTTGTTATAATACATTATATAAAACCTGTTAAGAAAATAGATTATTTAAATTGTTTATTATTATTTAAATTATTTACACATGTAAAACCCTGAAAGTCCCTAACTGAAATAAAATCTGGCGTACGCTACTGATTATATTCATATAATACATCTTACAAAATAATCTTTTAATTCGAATCGAAAAAATTTTCATTTTGCAATAAAAAGTATCTACTTCCAATCTTTCAATGTTATGTGTAACTATTAGTCGATAAACTGGAAATAGAATATCTTTATTATTTTATGATTTTATGTCTACATTATAACCATATTTTAATTTATTAAACGGTATTATAATTTCTTCATCTCTTTTAAAAAATAGGTAACTAAAATATCAAAACCGTGTAAATTCTGTTATTACTTTTAGCATTACTTATTTTAGAAGTTTAGTTAAATTTGTCTCGGTAGATTATGGTTATTTTAAGCTTGAATTATTAAGTTGGTGCACGTCAACTGTATATAGTTAATTATTAAAATAAATTGTTGCTATGCTTAATGTAATTCACTACTTATTTGGCATCCATATTTACCATTTGGTAACAAATAGAACAATATATATCTCAACAAAATCCTAAATAAATTCATAAAATTTTTATGATTTCAACGTAAGAGCCTACGACTTCGCAATGAATGTCGTACAAACCGGCCAAACCGTGTTAGACAAAACAGTTTCTACACCTAAAACTTTTGTGTAAAATACTTCAGTACATCAGTCTTCTAAAGTAATAGTATTCAAATACTTTTTAAGTACTCAAATAAGTATGCTTTCTCAAAGTACCTATCTGAAGGTATTTAAAATCAAATACTTATTCATCTAAGCTTATATATTTCCTATTTTACTTCTAATTTTAATCCCGTTGAAAATAAAACTAAGAATTTATTTTTTTTACTGTGAATATTATACTCAACCGAAAACCCTAAAACTCGAACCAAAAATCATATGTATGATGTATCATATCTAAAATTTAGAGTGCCATTATCATAATTTATTGTTTATATTTTAATTTATTTTGAACATACCTCTTTAAAAAAAAAATATTTGACATCGAATACATCTATTGTATAAACTTCAATACTCATTGGTTTACACACGACAACTGACTACTGCAGGAAATTTGTTTGACGTGCACTTAGGATTCATTCATATTTTATTTGCACGTCTTCATATATAGTTCATAATTTAATGATAAGTATTTTTTAAATGCCCCTATTGCAAAATGTATGGTTTAAATTAACTGCATATTACGTCAAGAAATTAAACTTAAACTTATGAATAACTCAGTAGGAACTATAGAAAATCATAATAGGAACATTATAATTTTTTCCCTATTTAAGAATGTATATTGCGTGAGAGCTTCATAGCAAATTGGCCTCTCATAACGCATAAGTCTAAACGTTGAAATTCATAACACTGGAACTTTCTTTAACTGAATTCTATAACAAATGCCTTAATATATTATACATATTAAAATTCTTTATTAAGGAAGTTTGTTTAATTTCACTCTTCTTTTAGACCTTGGTTTTTTTTCTTCTACGAAACGTATTAATGTTTTATATGGTCATATGGAGATACCTATATAATTAAGATTTTAATGATTTTATGTCCTATATAAACAACTATAATTTGAAATTAATATTGATTTTTCATGATGATTTAACATATACCTACTGACATGAATTATTAAGAACTAAATCAAAAATAGTAGATATGTAATCAATAATCATGATACTGTATGACAATAACAGTTCAATTAGGCATATTAAGTACTCTAAACACACATTCTTTGTCTTTACCAACCGCACCACACTTGGGGCGGGTTTTATCACTCACCAGGGGGGGGGGGCTAATAGAGGTTCAAAAATTTAGTTAGTTGTTTTTTAAGTCTATATAAAATTTAAAATTACAGATTATATTTTTGAGTCCCTCGACCCTCATAAGTAAGTCATTGTTTTTTCACAATAGTGACAAATTTTAAATAGTTACATTATTGGTATAAACAACATTATTGGTATAGATTGGAAAAACAATCTAAAAATAGCTTGAAGCCTAAATATTCTAATATCCATAGTTAATAATCATATATTCATCAATGACGATTGACGATATTTCATAATAATTATTAATACATATATCAATATATCATAATACTTGGCTTTGTAAAATAGTTAGCTTAGTCCCAAGGGGGGGGGGGCTATTGCCCCCTTAGCCACCACCTTAAACCCGCCCCTGCACCACAGAAGTAAAAACAAATTCAGCATAATAGTACMTATGGGATTCTAAAACGAAGCCAACGAAGGATTGAATTTGAAAATGTTAATGTTTTTAGTGTTTTTACACTCTACAAGGTAGGTACAAATCATCCCAAGGCGCTTTCAATGATATGAAAAAAAAATGTAAATATAATGAGTAACTTTCGATTAACGGCTAAAATATGATATAAATTTATTGGTATATTAGAATTTCTTTGCAAGTGGTAATTATAATTAAATAATATTGACAAAATGCATATCATCTAGTTAGGTCAGTGGTTCCCATTTTCCCAAACTGTTTTCCATCACGGTATATATTGTTATTAATTATTATAAGTCATGGCATACTGTGAATAATTATTAGGTATCTAAATTTAAGTACATAATCATTTTATAATTTTTTTTATTGAAAAAAAGTTCAAGTTGTGTGTCGCGGCACACAACCTTTTAAATTTCACATCACACTCTAGCTGTCATAATACATTTTTTTAAGTCTAATATTAAAATTAATTAAAAGATAAAAACCAATAAAAATACAATATAAAATGTATGGCTCAAATTAGATAGTTATATAAAAATGTCCTACCTTTGGTTATTAATGACTTAGTAAAAAATCAGAGAATAGCCGGCAGTTAAAATAGTAAAACGGCATTGCGTGAGAATCTTGTAATTATTTGTCAAATCCAGTAAAATTAAATAGCATTAAGGTTTTAATAAGTCATAACCATGCGTGTCATAACTTAAAATTCAAGGTTGAAGAATGAAATATTTATACTGCTCCAAAAGGTGGTTGTAGACACAAAAGAACATCATACATACATTTTTAAAACCATTACATATTAATAATCCACCTGAACGTGAAATGTATTGGTTTTATATATATATAAGTATTAAAAAGAACAATTA